ATCAGCAGTGATGTGGTGGTTCACTTTTACACTGTGATCTGTAGCCTATAGTTCGGCTTTAGCTTCTAACTATCTTTGTCTTTTTAACCTGTTGTTGCTGCTGAGTCAGTTTGACATCCTGGATATATCCTTCAAACACAGACTGTAGACCCCTCTGTCTGCTTCTCTCTGGAATCACTGCTTCATTTCTCCAAAAATATGATCATATTTCTTCAGGGAGTGCAGTTAGTTACAGTGTGGGCTCCACGCTTACTCAGGCAGCTTGTCCGACCTAGGCAAAGGGGCGGGGCTTAGCAAAAGGTTAATTGTGTAGTGAAGATCTGACAGCCATAGAAGGCTGCTAGCATCTAACGGTGCTAACTTTGCTGTCCATAACTCAGTTGTAACCACTGTATGAGTGCAGTACACAGCTGCAGTGATGAGCTAGCCAGCAGGACAAAAGCACTAACATTTGACTGGACCAGCTTACCGCAACAAATAACAGAGAAGCTCGGACTACAACACAGAGAGGGAGCGTGACTTCATTTTCTGCTCAGGATGCCACTTTATCTTTACACAGAAAATAATTGTCTGCTGCTACAATAATGTTCTAAATGTCAAATATAAATCCTTTGACATCTTTCTGACTGTCCACATAGCTTTGTTGTAAATACTATGTCAGGACAATTGTCACCCATTTTATTCTTAGTGGCACACAGAGTGAGGTAACCTCAGATAGCTACGCCTGGATGATTAGATCGTTTGTGACAAGACGAACTGTTATTATTTGATTCAACATTTAAAACTGAACTTAATGAACACAGCAGACTGTATCACACAACACCATGTTCTTACTAAATATGATGTGGCAGTCACGAACTGTTCAAGACACACTGTATGCTTTTAGAAAAGTCTGTGAACAAACTTTTAGAAAGGTCAAAAACTTCAACTGGAATAAAGTCATACGATGTGCAGATATTTCAGTGTCTTTAATTCCACCAATGAGAGGAACTAAAGCAGAAACAAAGAGGGTTCAATGACACGTTGGAACAATAATTACCGTGGTGGACTGAGTTTTACCTTTCGGCTGCCTGCAACTGTCGTTCTCTGTCCAGGTCATTCATTTCAGAGAGCACGGCTATACACGGAATAGACTGAGACAACAGAGAAAAACATGATTAACTGAACATATTTTCCCAACAGCAGAACATTTGCTCAGCCCGACAAATAATAACCCAAACAGAAGCTCTGAATTCCTGGGAGAAACCATCTCAGAGTGGGAGGCCGAAAACTGAGCTTCTCTAAAAAGGAAGTCTCCAGTCTGGGGTTCATCCTGTGTGCAAATTGTTTTGACAGAGGTTGTGTTTACCTCGCCCGAGCTCCTTCCTGCCTCCCCCTCCAACACCAGGGTGACCTGATCCACCTCCATGGATACAGGAAGCGAGGGATCATCCGGGATATCGTCATAGTCGTCCTCCTTTAACTTCTCTGAGATAGAACAGTTAGGATCGTTATCAGGGATGTGCAGCGGCATAAAGCTCCATTTATCCTTTTTCTTTTGAGGTTTATCCCCTTCTAAAGCCGCCAGAAACCTTCATGATGTAAATTCAAAGTCTACGTAGAAGACATGAACACAGGGTCTTTTCAAATTGTATTTTCTCCTTTTCTTTTTCTGACGCAGATCGAACAAATATAGATATTTATGTAAAATATGCTCATTGTATCAGCTTTATGCATTTCTTATGACTGAGATAAGGTTTGGTGTCTTGAAAAAATTAAGAAAAGGTAAACTGATTCAGTGAAGTAGAGTCACTACATACGTTTACTTTATATAGTTTATATAAAGTCAGACTCTAGATTTCATTATTTATGTTAAGAATTATACAGCTGTTTAGAAATAAAATGATGCTCTACGTTATTTCAAATGCTGACCTCTACATGTGTTGAACTTCTTGAGGAAACAACGGCTGCAGACTCTGTTTTGATGAGAATTAGTTTCTGTTTATTTTGATACTAAACAGTTGACCTTAAAAAACAGCAATTATTAAACCCTGTGAAGACTGTGCTCAGTGTTGTGCTGATAACGTACTGTGACTTACCAGCTAATTTGAAACAGATGTTTTCATATTGTGCTCCGTGGGATTTAAAGGCCAAAGCAATAGAGAATGTGAAGGTATGTCATGCCGTGTGGGACGGGGACTCTATCGTGAGAGGTGCATGTTTTGTTACCTCTGATACCAAAGTGTAGGCTCTCAATCCAAAAAGGAAATAGTTTTCAGTGTCCAGTTTTGTGAGCGGAGGTAGTGTATTGGGGTCTGTAATCCAGCCTCAGACTGCTGAGTCACATGGATCTATGTTGTTTATTGTGATTAGTTTGTCCAAATAATGCTGCCTGACTAATGTCATAGGCACACGTAACGCCAAAAACACACCAAGCAGCCGCAAAGTGCAGCCTGCTGCAAGCCACCATACAGCTGGCTATGGAGAGCTGGTGGCTGCTCCAAGCTGTGGCCATTCGGGGATAGTTTCAACTTGTCAGCCAGAGAATACTTGCAACCAATCAGTAAACAGAGACCAATGTTTCTTGTGATATGATGACCCATGTTAGAAAGACTCTACAAGCCCAAAGGCTGCAGTAAAATGTAATTATTGTGTCAAGCCTCACTCTGCTGCTGCTTGGTGTGTTTTTGGCGTAACACAGCATGTTATAACCACAAGAAGGTGCCCCAGTCCAAAACATTTTAACTGACGCAACATCAACTTCACATTCTCTACTGGCCCTTCTAAGTCTCGCCTCTTTTCGCTTTGTGCTCCATTTACAGTCGACTAAGCTTGGTACGTTACAGAACCTCAGTCAACTTTCCTCTTCGCTGTTACTCTTCCACATGTGCTGGGTTTGTCTATGTTGACTAGAAAACCAAAATTTGAAGATGGTTAAGAGATGTGACTGGGTCTAATGTCTTATCCACATTGGCCTGTGTGGATCATTTGACTGGGGGACTGTCACAGTCTTCATAGACACATTACATTGTATATAGTCACATTTTAAGTAAGCTAATGTTAGCAAAATGCTAGCTAGCTAACATATAGCTGCATAAAGAGTCAGTCAGGTCTGCTTTCTCCTTATTTCTCTGGTAACATTAAAGAGATTTGGAAAAGAACAGGTTGATTTCTGACGTATTTCTAAGAAGATATAAATTATTGGTAGCCAGGAAAGATTAAGGCTAATGTTTCTCTGTTCATAGTATCTCTGTAAGGCTACGTGCCACCCAACGTAGATTCTGGTGTTTTCTATTTGGATATAGCCGACGTCATGGTGAATATATCCTTCCATCGTACACTGTAGTCCATGCTGTCAGCTTTTAAAAGCTATATTGTCAGGAACTATCTAATACAGCGGTTCCCAACTGGTGGGCTGCTGTCCAAAAATGGGTCGTGGGTCCGTTCTGAATGGACCACAAGTGACTCACAAACATGTCAACTTTGTAAAAAACACACTTTAATTGTAAGTACACTGAATTTACAGCACAGAGCTTTTCATTTGAAGTGCCGTTTCCTGCTGTTGAGTTAGTGAGTAACTGACAGCGACCTGACAGAGACAGCAAACTAGCCTGACGACATGGTCAAAAGCAAGTATGACACTAAATGTATGAAACTGTGTGGACCTTGAACAAATGACTGAGTAGAAATCTGGACCCTGTGGCTGCACCAGTGTGGAACCACTGATCTAATAAACAGTGCGGCACCTGGCTAAACAGAGCGAGCATCGCCATGTTTCTCTTCGTCAAGCTTGTCTGACCGAGCAACAGTAACCAAGGGGGTGAGAGTATGGATTGGTCAATTGTCAAATACTGCGAAGCCCAAAACTTTGATTCAATATTGATGCAGAGACAGAAATCCAAACATGGTAAGTAAAAAAAAAAAAAAAAAAAAAGAGTACGATCTTAAACACAGTCTGACCTTTGACCAGCTCCTGAACTTTCCTGCACTTTGTGAGTGACTCCTCCAGCTCCTTTATCCTTCGTTCCTGTAGACACACACACACAATGTTCCAGTTACGACAGCTTTCAAAAAAACAAAGCAGCTGCTCAGCTGCTGAATATGACCTCAGCCTTACATCACACTGTACCTTCTCATCGTTGGCAGACGCCAGCGACTCCAACACCATCTTCATCTTCAACACTTCTGTATCTAGAGAAAAAAAACAGATACTTTACACTTGTGCAAGTTTATCTTTAGTGCCCCCCTTGGGTCTTAAACCAGCCAGCTGAAATCAGAAATAATGAACCCACTCAGCTCAGAGTGCTGGTCAGTGCAGCTCTTGTTTCAGCTTGTTGCTACAATAAACTCTTGATTCAATTATCACCACATATTATCAAAAACAGGGACACAGTGTGTTTTACTAGAAACGCTACACAATTAAATGTGCCAACTGCTTGGTAATCTAATCCAACACATGTTTATCTAGAGGGCAAAACTCATGTGAACTCTGAAGTGAGTTTATCAGAGTTGAACTTACCATTGCAATGAGGTAGATAATTAAGGTTTGGGGGGTTTGAGACTATTTAAACAATCAAAATACAACAGAATTTTCTTATTACCTCACTTTGCAAATCTATTTAGATTCAGATTTTAACAAGGGAGTTCTCCTCAGATATGCAGTTTTAATATCTTTTAAGTAATAATATGTTAGTGTTGTGTTGACAGCTTTTTTGGGTGTCCCCCAAAATGGTAAAAAAAAACAACAACAAATGAAGCTTTAAGCAACAGGAATTATGAATGACATGTTTGAGAACTAAAACTCACGACCTGACATTTAAAGAACTAAAATCTATCAATTAAATTACAAATGGGATTTTAAGCTAAAGAGTGATCTGAATGCTCTGATGCTTTGAACGTGACCCTTTGCCAATAAAAGAAAGGAGATAAAAGATGGAATAAGAGATATAAGACTCTGACAAATGACTTTAATTCAGTGTTACACAGTGTATGAGTCATGGTGGCCAATTTGTTGGACAAACATTGGTTTAGTTTTACCTCCTGAGTTTAACCTCAGCGCTTAAATGAACTACCCTTCTTAAGTGTCTAACTTTCTGTTCTGTTAGGGACTGTTGGTTTTTTATTAGAAAAGAGGGGTGACGTTTGTTTCCTTAACACCAAATATAGGTATTGGAGCAAATGTAATGAGCAAACAGCATGAAGGGGGTGAGAATTATGATCAAAACCAACAGTTACCTGCTTAAACAAAATACATATACCCCTTACAAATGGCATCATCTCACAAGCTGTGTGTGCTCTTGAGCAGTATATGGTTGCATGACAGCCACATAAATTATAGAACGCGCACACAGCCGGCCAGCAACGTATGTATATAATGAAGTTTCCCAAATAAACCCTGACATACACGACAGTAGCAGCAGTGGCCAGAATATTGTTAGTATCTGCACAGCAGCTGTTATTAGATTTTAAAAACTTTATCCTTTGTTGATCAAAAGTTGACATGAAATCCTGGACTTCAATAATGCCTTCTTTTGTTTTGTTTTTCTCTATTGTCATGAACGCAGAGGCCCAAAATGATCATTATTATTATTTTGCAATACAGGATCCAGTTAGAGAAAACGTTTGGCTAAATTTTAGACACAGCATAAAGAAATTTGATGAAATATCCCTTTTAAAAATTAGATTTGGTGATGTTTCCTGACAGAATGATTCGTCACACACGACATCTTAAAGCTGGGGTGTCAAACATACAGCCCGTGGGCCAGAACAGGCCAGCTAAAGGGTCCATTCCGGCCCACTAGACGTCTTGACTCAAGGCCCGGACACACCAAGCTGGCGGTCGGCCGCCGACCAAAGTCGGGCCGTCGGTGAGCGTCTGTCGGCCTAGTTTTTGCGGTGTGTCCCGCACCGTCGACCCTTCGGCGTTGGTGTCGGCGGCTTTTCGGCCGTTTGAGCATGTTAAAACTGTGGCGGAGCTAGTCGGTGAAAGAGATCACTCTGACTGGCTGTTTAGGTTTTATTCCCTCACCCCTGTAGCGAGTGAATCTGCCTGTAGTTAAACCGGGGCTAACCGGTGCTTCCTCCTCAGGCTCCACTTCACTCAGCTGCCTGACAGATCCGCTGCTTCTTCCCACTTTAACCTGAATCACAAACCTCCGCTAGCTGAGAGCATGAATGGAGGGAAGCACAGCCAGTTAACCTCCGCTAGCTTCCCAGATAGCCCCGGCTCTCCATTTGAATCCAAACGGCGAGCCGGGGCTAGCTGGGAGTGGCTAGCGCAGCACGACAGAGGGAAGCACAGCCAGTTAACCTCCGCTAGCTTCCCAGCTAGCCCCGGCTCTCCGTTTGGATCCAACCGGAGAACCGAGCCCTGGTTAGTTATTCAGGTTAAAGTGGGAGGAAGCAGCGGGTTTATCGGGCAGCTGAGTGAAGCTGAGTGAAGTGGAGCCTGCGGAGGACAAACCGGGACCATCTGAATGTAATAGCCAGTGGAGGTGCTGCCATGCTCAGCTGCACAGATAGGAAACACCTCGGCTGTCAGGATGTACCACTCTGTCACTCCGCTCTCTCTCACGCAGGCGCAGAACGTACGTGCCACTTGGCCGTCAGATACAGTCCATGTAGCGTGTTCAAATGAAACTGACACAGGGCGACGTGAGGCGACGTAGACGGCGCAACAGTTGGCTTTCGCCGCCGCTAGTTCTTTGATGTCAGTTTGGTGTGTCTGCACCTTAAGATGTGCCAGGATTCAGGAGCAAGTTTAACAATGTGTTGCCTACTTCTTGTAAAATTCTGCTTCAGAGGCTCTTCCACCCTGACCAGGATACAGTTCTCTGATATAACACTGAATACTTACTGTGATTATGTGTAAAGATAGAACATTGTGCAAAATATTGTCAAGTAGCAGCTTCAGTTCAAAAGAATCTGTATCAGGAAATGTGTGGATAAATGGACATGTAATGACAGTGAGAAGTAGACTGACTGAATGTGGAAAAACTGAGACACACTGTTGAAACTGCACTTGTTTTTCTTAAGACATCTCATGCTGTTCATCTGTTTTGTAAAAGGTTGAAGGTCTACAGAATGTACTTATAATTCTTTACAACAAAAAAAGGGGAAAATATTGGAGCTGATGGTACTTAGGGGTTGTTATGTGATGGTTTTATTGATCCAGCCTCTCTGAGAACTAAAATTAGTTTAACACCCCTGTCTTAAAGGATTGTTGGAAATTTGAAAATCTCACAATAATTACTGTTTTTACAGTTTTTGGCTATGATAAATGTTGTAATTTTAGTGATTTTTTTAAAAGGAAAAGATGACTTTTAAACCCACTGGCAGGTTATGGGGTTCAGTGGGCATTTAAAATAAATACAAAATGCAATTATCTAAAGTTTTATGTCCCATGCTTAGGCCAAAATAATACAACACAAGTCCCTTCCCAGTGTTTTAAAAATAATTTTACATGCCTCCCCCATTGTGCACCTCCCCCTACACTCTCATAAATAACAAACCCTTAGTGACCCTCTGATTTTAGTAAAGGAAAATCAACAAGTAGCATATGTCTGACTCTAAAATCATATTTTTTTCTCGCAGTCTGTTTTTGTTTTCTTAAAAGCAGACATCTGATCATAGATTTGATGTCGTCAGTGTCTCAACAAACAACCAGCATCTGTACAGTGAGCAGGAAGACAAAACAAACACCTCTTTCAGGTTATACTGTACAGCCCGTGTTTACAGGCAGACATGTATGAGAGACTCCCCTTTAAAATAAATGGCATTCCTCCACTATCAGAGGGAATAAGATAAGGAAGGAGTAACGTTCAGAAATGTTTGGTATGGAGCCTACAGACAGACGGATAAGGAGTTAAGTAAAAACAAATCACCTCATTATAGTTTGGACTGCCCGTGAAATTTAAGATAGTGAAAAAATAATTAATGGGGAAATCCAGATGAAAGCAAAGGAATTGTTATTTCGTCAGAACAGATGCTGGAGGGGGATCTGGTGTTGTTGGAATGTGAAATGTCTATTTGTCTAATCCTCATAAACCCTTCTGTAATATTAGACTCCACGAAAAGGTACAAGAAGCTCCCAGACAATTATTTAAACAGCTCCCACCGCTCTCTCCTCCCTCAGCCCTGCTGAGACTCTCCACCCTCAGTCTGCTCTCCTCCTTCAGCCTCCTCAGCTCCACCTCTCGCTCCTCCAGCTGCCTCTGCAGAAGCTGCAGCTCCTCCTGTAATCAGAAAAGATGTAAAGTCACCACTCTGCAATTCTTACCACTGTATTTGTGAATGAAACTTGGGTAGGGGGAATGAGTCCATTTAGTTTTTGGATTGTCTTTTTAATTAAAGGCTTTGAGAACCCAGACACATGCTGCTGAGCATGTACAAACTCATAACAACACTTATATTACTGTGCATCATAACAAACATAACAAGGCACCCAACTAATGACTATTCTGTTGATTATCGAACAAATAAAATCAAAAAAGCCCATCACAAGTTCTGTAAGTTCAAGGTTATGTCTTAAGATGGCTTGTTTCGCTCGACCAACAGTGCAAAAATACAAGATTCAATTAACATTATAAAACAGTCAAATACAGCAAATATCTGAGAAGCAGTATTAAGAGAATATCTGCCAGTTTTGCCTAATAAATGATTTAACATTAACCGATGGTTAACGCCATCATTTACCAGCTAATTAGCACATTATTAGCATGCTAACACGCTAAACAAAGATAGTAAACTGGGTAAGCATTATACCTGCAAACTGTCAATGTTAGCATTGTAATTTTTAAACCCGTTAGCATGCTGAGCATTAGCTCAAGCCAACTTAGAACACAGAGCCGCTAGCTGTGGACTCTTAGGGCTCCTACACCTGGCGCAAAACAGTGCACAGTGTAGCACATCTGTAATGCTACTTTCAGACCGAAGCAATTGTCATTTTAACGGCCAGTGACCACATTTTGCAAGTAGAAAATGTACTTGCACCCATCTGTGCACCCACTGGTGTGTAAGTCTTAATATGAGATGTGGTCAGGCGATTGTTGGCGCATTGGTATTTTTACAGAAAAGCAATTGCACCATTGACCAACAAAAACCTGGTCTGAAGTCAATAACGCAGTATTTTCCTGCCATATAAAGGGCCCATTATTCACAAAGTCGGACGCCTACATAGGCTGGTTCACAAGGCGTGTAGACTCTGCTTGTTGGGAAGCAGGAAAGATTTGCAGGTGAGTGAAATAATACATTGTTAAAGAGGAAAATAAGAATTAGATTCTCTACAATGCAAACATAGCAGAGAGCAGAGCAGAGCTGCTGTCTGACTCCTCATTAAGAGGTGCTGTACACATTTACGCACAAGGGGCAGCGTAACTATTGATTATTTTAGAAGCTACGATGTTAGTTCTGTTTCCTCTGTCAAGTTTACAACTACAGTTTTAGCTTTGCTGCTTCAATGTCCCACAGTGACATTACTGCTCTTACTGCATTACGCTCAGCAGAAAAATACTTGCTTCTCTAACATGTGGAATCTGCTCCCAAAAAAGACACCTGATAAATTAAGGGACTAAATACAACCTGTAGGGAATTTTATAAAACAAAAAGTCACTGCGGGCAAACAGGTGAACTTGTTCTGGACGTGTGTTCTGGGCTACGAATTTACTACTGTCGGGTATGCTTAACCTCTTTGGATTTGGTCTTTGATCCATTTATTCTCAATACAATATACACATGCTCACCATAACACAGACGGGCGACAGCATTGTCCACGTCATCAATATTCCATTCAGCAAATTCAGTTTTACACGCAAATACTTAATGCTTTTCAACATGCTTCCACAACACGGTCCAAAACTGTTTGCTTCCCCAGTAAACACACCTGATTCTCATTACCTGAGCTTACCTATATGCCCTTTGCACATAACTGCTGTTCAGTTTAATAACTGCATGTGTATATTTATATTAAAGGGATAGTTCAGCCATTATCTACTCACCCAAATGCAGAGAAAGGCTCTGGTGAAGTTTTAGAGTCCTCACATCCCTTGCGGAGATCGGCAGGGGGAGCGGCTAGCACACCTAATGGCAGACGGCGCCCCAGACTAACGTTCAAGAACACAAAATTGAAACCACAAAATATCTCCAACATGCTCATCCGTAGTGATCCAAGTGTCCTGAAGCCCCGACATAAAAAGTTGTTTCGAAAAACGTCATATGAACTCTGTTTTTAGCCTCACTGTAGCCTGTAGCAAGCAAGCTTTTAGCAAAGGACAGCCCAACATGTCTGAAGACTTTGAAACTGAGGAGGAACAGCATTTCTTTGTTGAGCCGTATTTGTTTGAGCCCGAGTATACAGGCGCGGAACTCAGGCTACTGGGCGAAGCAGCCGCTGCAGCTCATGAGCCTAACCCTCAGCCAGCCACAGAATACCGGAGTCGAGCACTGGAAACCTGGTGGTGTAGTTGTTTCAAATGCAAAGCAATGCCAAAGGATGAGGAAAGTCTTTGCTACTCAGACTGGGAATTGGAAATGCCTGCACTTGAGAATCTGGACATCAGTACTGAGGAGACTGCTGCTCTTCAGAGACCATGCATCACCGATCACCCTGAGCGCGCACACATGAGCGCGAAGCACAGAGAAGCAGTCAGAGCTACAGACTACAGTGAGGCTAAAAACAGAGTTCAAATGACGTTTTTCGAAACAACTTTTTATGTTGGGGCTTCAGGACACTTGGATCACTGCACATGAGCAGTATGGAGATATTTTGTGGATTCAATTTTGTGTTCTTGAACGTTAGTCTGGGGCGCAGTCAGCCATTAGGTGTGCTAGCCGCTCCCCCCGCCGATCTCCGCAAGGGATGTGAGGACTCTAAAACTTCACCAGAGCCTTCCTCAGCATATGGGTGAGTAGATAATGGCTGAATTTTCATTTTTGGGTGCACTATCCCTTTAAGCTTGTTTAGATAAGGATAAAATAAACACACAGAAAAGGCTTGTGCATTTAGGAAAACATCCTAAATGCACTAGCGCCATGCACTTTACACCATGCACTATAGATCATTTAAATAGGACCCTGAATCTTGTTTTAAACTTAAAAAAGCTCTGTTAAAACCACAGAAGAAATACCCTAATTTCAGTGCAACATTAGTAAGAACTAGTCAGTCAGTGATTTACTCAGTTAATTCCTGTTCTCTATTTAACACACTGTGAGTGCGGTGACTTAGTGAAAGTTCATACTATTCACAAAACCAGGACATACAGAAAAAAACAGACAGAAAAACATCCACAAGACTCATCAAAAGCTGGTTATAGAACTACTGATCAAAGAACTACGTAATTGAAATTGAGAAGACGTACCGATTAACAAGATGTGTAGCTATAAAAGTAGTGAACTACACCACTTCTACTTCTTATTGTTTCCCCTACAGGTGTTAATAGAAAAGCAAAAGCTAAAGGAGGATCTGGACCAGGTACAAATCCTGAAACCGGTACAGGTGAAGGCACTTACAGTGAGCGTGGTGAAAGTCAGGAAAGCAGTGTGCAGCAGTGGAGAAGGAGCAGGTTTAGAGGATCTTAAAGGGACAGAAAGGAGAAGAGCACAGGCTGGAGATTAAACCTCGTTCACCTCATCTCCAGTGAACCGCTCAGTGTTCCTCTTTGGATGCTTGACAGGTTAACATGTTGCAGAAAGATGTTAAAATCATAGTAGAAAAGGGGGGGTAAAGGGAGGGAGCAGAGACACGATGTCATAGGGGGAATCACAAGGTTTTTAACATGTAATGATGCATGTCAAAGGATAAAAAATAGATTCAGATCTCCTGTCATAGTCGATGTAAAAGAATAAAGTGTCTGGACCTTCAGCACACTCACTTTGGTAGCTTTGAGTTTCTTCTCACACTGCAGTCTTTCATTCTCTATGTCAGTCACCCTGAACCGCAGGTCCGTTACTTCCTGATACAAGCCCTGGGGAGGAGAAAGAGAACTCCCATTACCCATTAAACTCGGAGAGGAAACCTTCACTGGGAGGTTTATGGAGACTGTGTGGGAGAGAGTTCACATTTTTTTAACAGTGGGAGAATTCCTGCCAAAAGTACCAACTATTATTTTCAGACTAATGTCCCACTGGAGGGAATTTGAGAAGCTCAGTCCACACTGGACTGGAGGGAAGCGTCACGGTCAGTTACTGTAAAACTGCTTTTACCCAATCAGAAACACTGTAGGAGCCCTGTGCTTTGGAAAATCTGTCCTTACATGTAATGTGTATTGTTATTTATCTCCGCCAGGTATAAGCCTGGAGGGGATCATGCCTTTAGTTGTGTGTGTACCTCTCTGTCTGCAGCTAATCTCACAAACTACTGGACCAGTCAGCCTCAGATTTATGACTGCATGCTCAAGGACCACTTGTGGCTGCGGTGATTCATAAATGTTGAAAAACCTGATTTATTAACTGTTTTATACAGTCACTGAATGTTGACCTCTCACTGTTCTTCTGCAGGTTTTCCAGAAGCTCTGTCAAAAATAGACATAGCGTGTATTTTTTTTTTTAGAATTATCTAGATTGGCCACGATAAGCTCTAGCGGCCGCACTGCTGCCTGGCAAAGATCTGCACTTTTCTAATTGGTAGTGATGGACCTGTAAATCGAAATTACTGGTCCATCTATGTCCCAACCCTCACTTATGGTCATGAGCTCTGGGTAGTGACTGAAAGAATGAGATCGCAAATACAAGCGGCTGAATTGAGTTTCCTCTGTGGGGTGTCTGGGCTCAGCCTTAGAGTCGAAAGGAGTCAGTTGAGGTTGTTCGGGCATCTGATCAGGATGCTTCTTGGGCGCCTCCTGTTGGAGGTGTTCTAGGCACATCCCACTGGTAGGAGGCCCAGAGGCAGACCCAGAACATGCTGGAGGAATTACATATCTCATCTGGCCTGGGAACACCTTGGGGTCCCCGAGGAGGAGCTGGAAAGAGCTGATGAGGAGAGGGACGTCTGGGGTGCTTTGCTCAGCCTGCTGCCCCGGGTGAAAATGGATGGATGGACGGATGGACATTGATAGTGATTACTGTACGTCAATGGCACACTCAAAAAAATCTGGTGTAAGTGTGTTTAAGACGTGACAGCTGCGGTTTTACATTTTGGCAAATCAGCACCATAAAAAGTCACGCTGTATTTGACACTAGCAGTTCCTGTTTGCACTGTTACTTATAATTTTAAGACAACAATTCCCTGAATTAATTTTTAAAATGGAAAAAAGTCTGAATTTGATGATCATGCAGATTTTGAATGATAAAGAGCACTTATTAAGACAGTTCCTTAAAAGCTTTACTGCTGAGTGTGATATGTGGTTTGACTGAGTTTTGACTCTGGGAAGAAGGGTTGAGATTTCTGACACAAAATGCATAAATCCAGCACTTTAAGTTAAACAAATACAGAAATCAGAAGTCGTCAGCATTGCTCAAATGGGACTGACATGCTGTGTTCTTTAGGGTCCAATTTAAGGCTTAAGGAAGGGTAAATGGAGAGAAAAATAAACACATTCAGTTGCATTAATTTCAGTCTGCTCCCCTCAGACTTTTACTGTCTGGAAACACCACATAATATTCTCCATATATATGACTCAGCTGGTGGACAGAGTGTATGGAAACTATAACTCTCACAGCCTTTTAGCCCCCCAGAGAGGGGAGAGGGGGAGAGGTATGGGTATGGGTGTGGGTGGGGGGGTTCTGGCAGGAAACAGCTGCTGGAGCACAAGGGGGGTGTAAAGCCTCTTCTGTAACCCTCAAAGAAGTTCATCCTGCACCACATGACAGATTTCTCCAGTGGAGTGAGGCAGACCTTTGTGACTTTAAAACAATGACTGGGTGGCTTCCAGGATTCAGAGTCACACATCACATGAAACAAGGTGCAGGTGCAACAAAGAACTTCGGCTGTCTCATGTTAAGGACGGTGGGTTGTACCTCATTGTCCCTGTGATCTCTCTCCACCGCCGTAAGCTTCAGTTTCAGACTGGACACCTCGGTCATCAGCTCCAGCTTCTGGGTCTCCAGTGTTGTCCGGTTCAACAGCTCCTGTGGAGCAAGATGCACACTTGGTAAAGCTGCACTAAAATATAACGTGGAAAGAAATGGGCTGGGATGACAGTTTGAACTGCAGAACCGAAGGCCTCTGCAAAGTTACCTGTTGCAGCAGGTCCTCAGTAGCATTTAGTTTCTCCCGATGATGTTCTAGACAGGTGTCTAGGTCCCGTATCTTCTCACCTTGCACCTCCACCTGGTCTGTCAGAACACTTACCTGGACAGTGGTGAGACATTATTGCAGTATTTATCACAAAATAATTATTTCAATAATAGAAAATGTCGTGAAATTCTTGGTATACATCCAAAATCAGATCCAAACAAAGACGATCCTGTTGAGTGGCTGATGGCAGCAATCATTTTTTAAGATTTGTATCAGGATGAGATGTGCCAAACTTTAAGACCCTTGAATAACTGCTATAGTAGTTGAGTAACATTTACTAAAAACTACAGTTCGAGCTGTTTCAGTAAATTATCGAGCAACTTCGAAAAAGAAAACAATGAACTTGTGACCTTTGTTTTAAGATATACATCTTCAGTATGAATGAATGGCTGTGGGGCCACAGACAGGGCAGGGAAGTTGGAAAGTGTTGAGAGACAGACTGCTAAATTGTTGGTTTTGTTTTTTTTCATGGGATTTGTTGCCATAGCGAGACAGAGAATAATGCTAGACTTAAAGTTCAATATTATCAAATTTCTGTAGCACCATCTTTGGGTAGATTTCCATCATATTCTGCTGAGTTCCTTGGAATAGATATGAGCACCTCATCTACATTTGGTTGTGTTTGCACAATGTGGTCAAGAGCAATGCCAGTTTATCTAAATAATGCATGCTTACAAGAATTTTGCAACCACTTATACAAAAAGGGTAAGGCTAAACAAAAAAATGAACCTTTTCCCTGCTCCTCCAAAAATTTTCAGTGTACCCACCAAATTTACATGTTAGAAGATCTTTTCAGTCTGTACGTCTTGCACTATCTATTTGTCTTGAACTAAGGATTCCAGGAAAAAGCAACTTTACATCTACACCTAATGGTCCAAAGTAGGGATGTCAGTTAAGGTTGATTTTGCTTTTGATAGTCCGACACCCATTAACCAGTAACTAACCAGAAGATTTCTAAGGGGAAAAAGCAAAATGACTTGAATACATAAGGCCTTTCGTTCTTTTGGTCCTGTGCTCCATTGACCCAGTGAGCTTTAGCACCGCATTTCAAAGAGTTATCCATTTAGAGGTGGTGAAATTTTAATGTTTTAAGCGGCTTCAGTTAGAGCTGTTTGCACCACTAATCACGCTGACACTTGGTGCTTCTCAAAGTCAAGGAAGAAATCTTAAACAACCAAATTTCAAGGAGGCTACATCTCGAATCCTGCAGAAGGACTGTTCCAATATCAAGGATACTTCAAATTCTTCTGAGGACCAAGTCCTTCCTTCAGAGAATTTTCAAGGACGCATGTGTGCATCCTCAGCCAGAACCAAGTATCAACAATTCTTTTGCATGATTTTGCTGGAATTGAGGGTGGGGCCTCTTCAGTGTAGCACATCTGGGCACTCGCAAGCCTGTTGCAATATGTGTTCACCGAATTCTAGTAGTCTACTTCTAATGCTAATAGTCTTTCCAAGCCTATGTAGGACCCGACGTAAGGAAGCAGCTTTGAGAAACACCGACTGCCTCAGGTGCTAACAGAGCTAATGGTGATGCTAAAGGGGTTTGTGGCTTAAAATTATACCGATTACTCTCCAGGGCAACCTGGAGGACAGAGGGCAGGCACAATGTTTCCACAGCGGTAACTGCCAATTCAGCAGTGCCTCTAGCTAGCTCCCACCTGACCTGGGTGGTGTGCAGTGCAGAGGTGCCAAGACTAGCAAACCAGCGGAGACTGGAGGGTCAGGCAGCCGGCACTATGTGTCTGCATGTTTGCGTGGCTAGCTTGTTATCTGTCTCCCACCAGACCAAGGTGGTGCGCAGTGCAGTATAATGAAGAGTAGCCATATTAACCTGTAGACCATCATGCTTAACTGGTCAAAAAATATTATTGCCACTTAAACAATTAACAATTAACCCTTCACATCCCTTGTCCAAAGTAAAAAAAGCTTTGTTAAGAGGATATATGTTGATAAATTGGCTCAAGTTCTGCATTAAAAACTAATCATTTGTTGCTGTCTGCTTTTTTTAATCTGTTGAGTAGTTTTTGAGATATCCGACCAACTACCAAACATACGAACCAACGAATGGCACTGAGAACATGGTAATTACCCAAATGGCAGCCATGTACAATGCTACCTAATTGCCTATTCATCAGCAATTGTTCTGCTGCCTTGCAGCTACAATGACAAGTTGTGTTCACAAACCTGAAGAATAAGACACTCTTTGTCACTCTCCAGTCGTGACAGACGTTCTTGGTAAACTGCTTCTGTGCTGTGTCCGTTACTCTGAAATGAAAAACAATGTGTGTTGATTTGTGTTGTCTGAACAAATTGCTTCATTTGTTGCATCAGTTAAATACCGTTTCCAACTGTTATTTCTTTTCAGTTCAGAGCTCACAAAAAAAGAGGGGGGGGGCGGCCTCTAGCTGTCATGTTGAAATGCGGCTCTGGCTGAGGGGTTCAAATGAAAATACTCACCAGCCTTGAGCCACATAGATTTTGTAATGCTTGAATACCACTTCAGTGTATAACTATATAACCTCCCTGACAATCAACTCACATGTTTTTTTTCTTTGGAGAGCTTTCAGAAAAACATGTGAGGGTCAATAATGTTCTCACATGAAAGTGATTTGAAAATTGAATCAAAAGCAAACTCTTCTCTCAAATATCACAGATTGAGAGACAAGGCCGTGAGGGAAGAAAAACACGAGCCTCAGCCTGAGTCAACCTGAGTTTGGAAGATGGAAACTATTTGCAGCAGGTCTCCTATAGAAACTCCATCATTCACAAAGCACGCCATAACAGCACTCTCACAATAAACAGTCACGGTATGGGCAACGGAGCACGATCAAGAGATGCAAAGCAGATCAGACGGTAATTCATACCAGGCCGTCTCTTAAAACTGGCCAGTGCAAAAACTCTGAAACACACATGCTGCAACAAAAAAGTGGTTTAAGATTATCTTTGCGATCTGCACAAAAATAAACTCAATCTATAGATTCATGATGACATTTTCTCTCCCTGGTCAGTGACAAAAAGAATCAGACACCCCATTTCCACTTAGTCATGCATCTCGGGCTGACTGGATAGCTATCAGATATCAAGTGTAGATGCATCCAAGAAGCACTGGAGATGGATTGAAATCAAATAACTACAACAACCAGAGGAAATGGTTCGAGACACATATTATCCAGATGTTGAAAAGGATGTAAATGCACCCATCTCTCCAGGACACTTGTGAAATCTTAAAGGACTACTTCACCAACAAAATGATCATTTGTGTATCAATTACTTCCATGGTGAGCAAAGAATCCAAAAATGGAGACAATTCTTTGTGAACTGAATTTTCGGGGGGCTGTATTTAACAACAGCAAAGCTATAGCAAACATCTGTTTACACAACTTATGCAGTTTAATTTAATTTAAAGTCTCATTTATTTTAATTCAATTCCATTTTATTTTTAAAGCCCAACATCACAAATCACTATTTGCCTCAGAGGGCGTTGCAGGATACGACATCCCTCTATTCTTGGAGCCGACCAGTGGGGCTAACTGATATATTATGCTTTTGCCACAGCAAAAACGTCCTTCCTAGAAGCGAAAGCTTCTAGGGCAGTCTTCTGTTCCTCTCTCAAGGAAAAAGATAAGTGTAGTTGGTTTAGCGTTTCTTCCAAAGCTAAATTGAATGGACACGGTCCTTCAGCAGCTGCCATCTTGGCTGTTTACTTTTCGACTCCTACGGCGCAGCGCTGTCGTCATCATGTTACGCCCGACCAGGGCCCGCCTCTGTCAGAAAGACTGATCTGATCGGTCCAATGGCGATTCAGCAGGCTCTCCTCATCAGGGCCAGATTCCCATGCAGAGCAAATTTGAATTTGCTAGGGGCGGGGCATCTGGATTTCCAGGTTATGTTGAATCTGCAACAGCAACCAGAACGTACATGCTGGTTGGATGTCTACCTAAGTGTTTGTGATGTGTCCATGTTAGGACTGGGTGATATGACCTCAAATCAATATCACGATTTATTGGACATTTTACCTTGATTACGATTACTGAAAGATTATTTTGTTTTTTGCCTTCACTGGCAAAGTTTGTACTGTAAATATGCTCAATTATCAGAGGTGGTATATTTCTTTCTAATGAAAGAGTTTATGTTTGTGATTTTAAAATAACTGAAGGAATCACTCTCGGATCAGCTATTTCCTTGAATCTTTTTCACATTGTACAGCCTCGGAAAAATGTTTGTGTTATTGAGAGCTGCTTTGTGGAGGCACTTGGTGTTTGGCGCTTGTCAGTCTCTTCCTTTTTTTAAGCCATGCACTGTTCATATTCAGTAACGTGATTGTGCTCCAAGTGCTGAAACAGATTGGTGGTGTTACCTTTGGTCACTGAAACTGTTTTTTCACAGTGTTTACATTTGATTTCTTTCGTGTCCAAATGACGGACACGACATTTCTCTTGCTTCCAGGTTGAGGACTAGACAGGGTGGAGTCACATGACTACACACACAGTAGTACGTTTTTAAGGAGACCGCACACACAGTGGGGAAGTATTAAATGAATTTTTTTTTAAAAATTGAAATTACCAACATGGGCAAGATCACGACGGTTAGAAGTTCTGAATGTGGGTTTCGATTAATTTAAGATTAACTGCCCAGCGCTTGTCCATGTGCAACTTTTTGGGCGAGACACAGGCAATGTGAGTGTATGTATCTGGGCCTTAAAACTGAATTGAAAGTGTAACTCATCTATGCTCTCTTCAAAGCCAGACTCCACTGACAAAAAACGTAACTGTACCTCTGAAAACGAGAACTGCTGTCTATCACTGCCTCGTCAGTTAGTTTGTGTTATTGTGTGACTTTGGTGTTTTAAAGGGTTTGTTAAAGGGTTTAATATAGTCACACAACTACACAAACAAACTACCACTAGGGCGGTGGTAAACCAGTAGCCCCTGTGTTCAGCAAGGTAAAATTACAGTTTGTCAATAATCTGGGTTTGAAGAGTATTACTTTAAGTTTGGTTTTGAATAGTAAGGTTCCAGCGAAAATGCATGTGTTTGCACACAACTGGATAAATGAGACTAGGGTTATACTGGACGAGTTGTGTAAGAGTTTGTAAACAGATGTTTTGATGTAGTTTTGCTGTTGTTAAATGCGATCGCCTATGACTTCAATTCAAAGTTTTCTTAACAGATAGAATTCTACATAACACGAGGTGAGTAACTGATATACAAATGGTCACTGGGGGGCTAAATTATTCCTCCAACTCCCTAAAAGTGCAACTAGGTCAGCAGCTTTTGTTATTAGGTCTGTACCTGAAGTTACATTGGAAATGCACGGAGGTCCGAATCTTTAACATTTATCTCCAGTTCCTTTTAAAGGTTTTGCAGCACTTTAAACATGCCTTGTGTATGAACTGTGCTGTGAATCTGCCTTGACTTGTCATGCCTTAATATGATTCATTCCTGTGTTTGTGTCACTTTATGAATAGTCGTTAACTTACGAGCACAACGGTTATTGTTGTAACTAAACTGCTTACATGGTGCTTAATTTGTGGCCATAATAAATCTCTGTTCCCTTTTAAGCACAAGACACTTGAAATGACAAGTGTAAATGGCGCCAGAGAGAGAAATGCGCCGATGTCATGTTTATAAAAATATACACAAATATCTTATCTTGTGTTTCAAACAAATACAGCACATGGAGGCTAAACAGCACTTTACTAATGGATTTTTTTTTTTTTTTTAACCATTCGTCCATGTAGCCACTCTGCCAGCCCCTCTGCAGTAGAATCAGGGATCTGACATCGCAGGTTGTCCCGCTCCTCGTTGTCCATGAGCTCCAGCACTCCCCGCAGATCCTCCAGAAGGTGCAGCACCCGGAGGCCACCCAAGAAAGGTGAAGTGGGCGACTGGCAGTCAAACAGCCCGTTGGAGTAGTCCATGGCCTTGGAGCCTGGGAAGATAGAGAGGAAACGTTAAGATGTGGGACAACACAAAGACTCTCTATTTCACACAAATCATAAAGTGAAGTTGTGAAATTACATTAGCTCTCTGAGCTGGCATGTGATTCAAAACAAAAAAATCAAATGACTTCAAAACGCAATCAGAATGACAGGCTTTGAAAAAACTGGAAGGATTTACAACCAAAGCATCAGTTTGGTGCTGATCTGTGGGTGTGGTGGGAGCGCGATGACTACCCAGGGCTGTAAATTTTGGTTTTTGTGTAACTGTCTATGTCTTTTTCTCAGGACATGCAAGTTGGGTCTGTCGCCACAGGCTACCAAATTTCATCTAGTGTGGGTGCCATTAATCAAACAGAGCAGATACACAAAACTCTGTGTAGGATCATCACTGTAGAGCAGAAACATTTATTAGCATTCTTCCTGTCAGATTAAATAAAGCCATGTGTACTTATGGTTTTGACTCATGAACATCAAACACAAGGACATGGGGGGCCTCATTTCTTATCCCACAGTTAGCCATAGATGAATGCAGACAAGTCCTTCATCGTGTGTTTGCATATAGAATAAATCTGTCCCAAGTTTTTTAGATACAAGAACAGCCAAAAAAATTAACGCAGTTTCAGCAGTTGTTGCACATAGCTTTGGCCATTTAAAGCTCCTGTGGTACCATTAGTTAGGGACATCACATGTACCTGTAAACTAGAGCTGGACAATTAACCAATCCTTTTTACTTTTTTTTTTTTTTGTTGAGCATCTGCCGCCCATGTCAGTGTGGTGTGTCCTGCACCACTGCCCCTCGTCGGCCCCCCCTCAGCTTTTTTTTGTGGCTGATTTAACATGCTACATCAGCAACAGCGGAGCTTGAAGGTGAATGAAATCACTCTGTCTGGCAGCTAAGCTCAGTGTACAAGAAGAGAAACAGAAGTGAGGAAAGTAAACAAAAAGCTTAGGTCAAGAGGGAGTGAGACCAAAACGAACTTGTTACATATGGTAAGATTCTTTATCTTTAGCCACTGAGCTCTTTAGCAGAAACATTTTGTGCTGGTTTGTGTTATTGTTCACTGGCACACGGTAAATATGCTCTGTTCTTTCAACATTGGATTGTGTTGTTTATGTACTAACTGACTAACTAGCATCAAGACGGTCTTCTAGTTTCGCTGTTTGATTGACTATTACAGACTACTGCCATCTGCTGGTGTGGAGAATTATTTCTTCTCACGCAGGCGCATATACGTCCTGGTTGACCGTCGGCTGCAGTCTTTCTGGTGTGTTCATATGCAACTTGAAGTCAGTTTATGTCTGGGCCTTTACAGCTGTGGGCTCAGTGGTGCCTACTTGAAAACCTTCACTCTAGATTTAGCGACTTTTTTAACCCGAGAGTGACTTAATTTCTAAAAGGTGACAAATTTTTAACGACTTATTCAGACCATCAGGGAAAAAGCAAGACATGTATTCAAATATATTTTAATCTATTCCTATGCTTGCTGCTTAGAGTAATCAAAGTCTATGGCTCTTCCGCAAACAGCATGGGGTCTCTCTTGGGGTATCTCATGTTTTTATATTTATTTGATTTTCAGTTGAATTGTATTTAACGTTCGAGAAAAGTTTTTTTTTTTTGTTGTTGTTGTTCAATAAATGGACAATGTTTTCTATTACATAATTGTGATCTCAATACTGACTAAAATAATTATGATTGTCATTTTTGCCATCATCGAGCAACCTTTCAGTAAACCACAATCAGCACTTATATCTCAGTCATCATCATCAGACATCGGAGAGGTTTAGTTAAATCCAATCAAAACAGACTTTACAAAATGTTTGATCACAAAAAAAGGTAAACGAACAACACAATTTTGGGGCATTTTACAGACTGCTGTGTAGACTGCAAAAAAAAAAGTGAACTGGGCTTACAACCTAAAAGAATAACATTTCATATTCAGTCTCTATGTCTCTGCAACAGACACACACTCACACACTCCTGCACACATACTGGACGAGCAAATGTTTACAGAGATTCTATCAAACATCATGTAACACAGTAAAACCAATTAATGCTAATTAAATCTTCTCCTGTATCTGTGGAAACCATATTTTCAGATTTTTCTTGGAAGCGAATGCAGCAGCGTGTCGACTGAACTCGAGTGCATGATGTTCCCATCGTGTGCTGCCCACTCCGCACCATCTGTCATCTGTCTTAAATGTCAGCCATAATGAAGATGTCCAACGGTAACAAAGAGGGAGCTAAATAAATAAATATCCAAACAATCATGGCTTCCCCACGGTAGCGAGGGAATGGGGCACGATGACGGCTGTGGCTTCCGCGGAAACAGTGGGGACCGGGGGGGGGGGGGAGACATGTGATTGGCTGCCTTGCTCCCATTGGAAAGGTCAGCGCTATAATTACACACATCAGCGGAAAAGTGGGGACTCTGAAAGTGAAGCCTGCTCTGCTCATCTGCAGCGGCACAAGCACAGAGTGGCCAAAAGTTCCCAAGCAGGAGTTTGTATTCCAAACTCACAGAGCTTGAATAATCATTAGTTTCCGTCGTTGTGGGGACAATGGAAACTTTCTTTCATTTCTCATGCTGGTGGAATGCACTGGAGGCAGAAAGGCCCAGTGATCCAGCAGCACAATTTCAGCATTATTCCAAACTTTTATGTACATTCAGGGGAATTACATTAAAATGCAGGTAGAAGGGGAAGGAGAAGGGCACATTGTGTTGCCATCCACTGGCCGTAGTAGAAATTCAATGATTTCCAGATGTGGCTAGACCCCATAGTATGCCATGCCCACTTAAAAAAAAGAGCCACGGTCTTAAAGTCCAAGTGTACAATGTGGTTACCTGCTATGATCCCATCCATTTGCTCCAAGGCTGCTGCCAACATATCGCTGGCGTCAGACATCATCTTGTGCTCAATGAATCTGAAAGAGAAAAGAAGAAGAGCATTAAGTGAAAGAAACAAGACTGAAAGACAAGACAGATCCATGAAGATGTCTGGCAAAGCTCAGACAGAGTCTGGTTTAAATTCAAACACGATAAAGACATGTTTCCTAAAATTTTAAAGCAGCAGTAGTATTTTTTAAGAAGAAGAATAAACAATGACAATAAAGGCTTTCTTTTCGACCAAGACTTAAAAATAGCTCCAAACCAGGAAGAATTATAACTTACAAAGAGAGTGACATAGTCTCTCAGTTTGTCCTTATGTGTTTAGACAAATGGAAATCTGATCATCTACAGTACATTTTCATGACTGCTGGGGAAAATCCATCTGAAGAGGACTGTGTGATAAGATCAAACACTTCATAACAACCACAAACAGGACCCTGTGATTAGATTATCTCAGTTAAATTCAAGGTTCTGCGACATTCAGAGCATTAATACAGCAGCAAGCAACAGCAGAGGATGATGTTATGCAACCTCTGTTGTTGTTGTAGACAGCTTAGCTGCGCGTTCATGTGAATTCTTGCGAGTCCCTGTGTGTGTGTCCCATTTTCTAGCTAATCACTGCCGATCTGCACTATGCCAATCTGGTGGTTACCAGCCAAGGTTAACATCATTAGCTCTGTCAGCACTGTTGCCCTTGTTATCACTGTTTGAGCTGCTAGCTGCCAGCTCAGTCACCTTCATGTTGAGAACTGCATGTCAGACGATCCTGGCTCGGACCCTGAATTGTAGATATGCTCTGAATGTCACATACAGTTCCTTTAAACAAAACCAAAGACCACAGATATTTTGTGACACTCACAAGTTAACGTAGCAGTATAAACAGAAGTGATTAGCAGGATATTCAGCTGCCGACAATAACAGTATCCCCTACAAGTCAGTTATTCTAATAAAGATGCAAAGGGTTCTCAAACTGTGGTAAGAAGAAAGGAACTTGGTGGGAAAGACAAATTAGTCATGTCTAGAGTTGGGTACCAAATTCCGTACTTTTGAGGGTAGTGACTGAATTATGTCTATACTCTAAGTACCTATTCACATTATGTCAATCTGGGCCAAACTGGAGAGCACACTTGGGTGAGAGCGCTGGATTCAGACAGGAGGCAGAAGCACTGCAAAGAGTCCCTAAGCCAGACAGCCGGCCACAGAGTTTCACAGGCTGCTTCTCGACTTCAGGACTCTTTGCATTGCTTCTGCCTCCTGTCAGAACGCTCTTAGATACCGAAATTTAGCAAAGGTCAGGGCGCTTTGTGGCAAAGACAATGGAGATTAAGAAAGGAGGTGGAAGAAATACAAACTGCCCCGCTGCTGGGGGCCAGATATGGAGCTCCATCGGCTTCCCAGCGAGTCAAAACTATCACTGCAGCACCAATAGTTTCCATCTGGTTTTCTTCCAGAAATCGCTTTGTATCACTGCTGTTTGTGATTGTGTTTTTTGCATTACATATGTATTCTACATATTTATCAGCTGTGTCTAAACAGAGGGCTAGAGAAAGGGGCAGACACAGACACACACATACACAAATAGGCAGACAGACTTAGCTCTATGTATGATCAGAAAAGTGCAGAGGGCAAGAAACACTTGTTGACTGCAGCTTGTTCATAAATCAAATTGTTGTTGCCACCACAAAGAGTAAAGTACTGAAAAAACAGGAACCTTTGGGTGCTGGTACTAAACTTGATTTGATTTGGTTAATTCTGATTAATGACTAAGTATCATAAATGCAAGTTGCAGGCCTAATCTCCATGATTCTCAGAGCATTGTTTTTCTCCTGTACCAGCACCAGCTTTAATCTACAGAGCATGCCTGCATGTTTTTACTTTACATTTGCAAAAAACAACAACAGCATTATCACTAATCCTGTTATGATACAAGCTCTCATTCTTCCTTCTCAAATGACTGCTGCATCAAATTAACCCTGCAGTCTGTGCCACAGAAAACAAGCTCCCTCAGAGACAAAAAACAAAGTGATCTCCAAGACTTATTACCCAGCAAGCCTTATTTCCGGCGGTCACGGGTACTTATGGGCAGGCTCCTATCCGGAATAATGACACTATTCTCCCAGGGGTCTCAGGCCTCGTAGCATTGGCATGCTCGGCATCTGAAACTTCCATAACAAAGTTGGAAAATATCCCCATGACTGCTGAATTCAAACACTTATCACATGCCTCTCCTTTACTCGCACTGACCACTTATCACTTCAAACCAAATCTGATTTAAAGGGCTTGAGATAGAATACAGTACGTGGAGAGGGCAGCTTAACCAGAACTAACAACATGCAAACAGTGGCTCTACTTGTTCACAAGTCCAATGGTAGAGGGGGCAGGGGCTGCAGAGTTGACTTCATTTCCTCTCTCTTAGGGGTCACAGTGTCACACCCAGCAGGGTAAAACATGGGCATTAAGAGCGTAATTAAACCAGTGGCCTCAATATGGGCTGGGGGTTGCTGTTAAAACAAGGGGCCTTAAGTGCTGTTGCTTAATTTCAACGATACACTCCACAGGAAGGGGAGCCATTTTCTCCCAAAACATCACACACACTGCTTTGTATTCTCTACTCCACCAACATTTCATTAATGATGTAATATGCAACTTAAGCCTTCAGTCTAAAAGTCTAAAAACAACAAGACCAGTGTTGTCTGTATCATTTGGTCATCATCGCCTCTCAGTGGCATCATATCGTCTTTGTGCATGCATTAAGGTCTCAGGTCATTTTTATCCAGTTTTAAGCCACATTATTTATGATACACTTTTTACATCTTAGTCGTTTTTAACTTTGTTTTTAACCAGATGAAGGATTTTAGTCATCAGATGTCTGGATCTTAAGTTATCAGAGAAACAAAGTTGTGCAAACGTTAGCTGCAGCTCAGCTCTAGCCCCTGCCGCATCAAATAGCATTGGAGAAATACTGATTTTTAACATGAAACTGCTTTATTCAGTGTTTTTACCAGTTTAAATCACCAAGTCCATTTGTTTTGGAGAGGAGGAGACCTCTACGGATAATTCGGCTCCTGGTCAAAACCTCCTGAACGTCTAGATCTTAAGTTATCTGAGAAACAAGCTGAGCAGATGTTAGCTGCAGCTCAGCTCTAGCCCCTGCCGCACCAAATAGCATTGGAGAAATACTGATTTTTAACATGAAACTGCTTTATTCAGTGTTTTTAACAGTTTAAATCACCAAGTCCATTTGTTTTGGAGAGGAGGAGACCTCTACGGATAATTCAGCTCCTGGTCAACACCTCCTGAACGCCTGGATGTTAAGTTATCTGAGAAACAAGCTGAGCAGACGTTAGCTGCAGCTCAGCTCTAGCCCCTGCAGCACCAAACAGCATTGGTGAAATAGTCATTTTCAACATGAAACTGCTTAATTCAGTGTTTTTAATGGTTTAAATCACCAAGTCCATTTGTTTTGGAGAGGAGGAGACCTCTGAAACTAATTCGGCTCCTGGTAAAAACCTCCTGAACATTTGGATCTTAAGTTATCAGGTGAGTACACATTTGCAGGTACTAAGATAGCTGCTTATCTCAACAAAAACACTGATTCGTAACAGCTTTATTCAGTCTTTTTACCGATTTAAATCACCTGGTCTGTTTATTTTGGCGAAGAGGAGACCTCTCTGGATAATTTGGCTCCCGGTAATAACCTCCTGAACAATGAACACTGAAGAATATTAGCTCAATAACAACAACAAACTGTACATTTTAAACCTTTACTTCAACTCATGCACACTTGCAAAATAGGGGCCACTGCCATAACAACAAACTACAACAGAAGAGCGCTTCCGTACATACACAGTAGGGCAACAAAGCACTCAACAAAGGAATCCTAACCAGGAGAAGCTGACTGCAATGCTGTGTCTTTTGTTTCTCTTTTGACTGAGCGACCACTTGTGGCAGAAAAATACATATTGTATGTTTAAGATTGGTTATATACAGCTCTGGTGATGTAGACGCACACATGAATCAGTGTTTTAAGGACAAAGCAGGATTCTGGTCAATAAGCATGCCAGGAAATACCGCCGACTTCCAAATACAACAACACCTTTCTAATTAAATTTTACGGTTCTCGTGGGCGATTCATGGAGAGGTTCCACAGATACATCTAATACTTTTTCCTCCACAGGTATTTCCATAGTTTGATGGGAAACCATCACTCACTCACACCAGGGTGGAAGCTGTGTTTGGTCAGCTGCTTGTTGCGCCCCATGGGAGAAACCTAAAGCTTGTTCCTTTTTCCAAAAAGAGATGTTTTTTTTTGTTGAGGATCCAAATATTTTCTCTCTCTGTGTGAATGCAGAAAACAACAAACGGCATAAATAGAGAAACACCAGTGTGTGTGCTATCTTTTCCTTTTACTCGACTATCTAATGCAGTCTTGTGGTCATGGTGCAACCGCGGGTGTGGAGGAAAGCAGGATAAAAACATTTCAAAATGATAAAACAATTCACAGTGTGTTACCATAATTGAGGCTGTTCTCCGCCTGCTGTCTTGTGATAAAAGCCACATCAAATTGGTGTTATGAGTTTCATGAGAAATCCAATTCAGCGGAAAACAGAACATCTTATCAGCTCATGTGCATTTCAGAACATAGGTTTAAGACGGAGAAGGAATCAAAGCAGGAATTGCTCTTGTGCTGGTTATGTGGCAGAAAACAGCACTGAAACTTGCCACGTTAACTGGTCTGCTCTTCAGACTCACAAAACCCTTTAAAATGCCAGGCTGAGATATTTTCCACTTCTTTTCGCATCAGTGATGAGCAGGTCATCCGTGAGGAATTTTCTGACCAAAACCTCAAGAGGAGTCCACAGATGAGGGTCCATGTCCCAAAACATGTGCAGAAGTGTCTGTATGATGAATGATAAGGCCACAGTGTAGGAGTGAGTACTACACACATTCCTGAGCAGGTTACTTATCCCAAAAACCAAACACTAGTGCCTGGTACGGACATCCCCGCTGACCTCTGTGACCTCCCTCCCTCCAT